GGTCCGGTGAGCCCGCGGCCGCAGCGGCGTCGCGGCTGGCGAGCTCGCGCTGCAGACACTCGGCCGCCGACTGCGGAAAAAGCTTCTGCAGATGTTGCAGTACCAGCGCGTCGATCAGCGGGTTGGTTGCGCTGCTCAGGGTGGGCTGCTCCATTCGGGCTCCATGAAAAGAATTCGCGTCCGCGGGAGCTCAATAACAATTTAAAAAAAAGAGCAGAAACGGGGCACAAACGGGGAGGCACGCAGTGACGCGCAAGGGGGTCTAAGGAGGTGCTGGAGAGGTTTGGCACTGTGGGCGGCAGTGCTGCCTCTGGCGCGGACGTGGCCCGAGCTCGCCTAAGCCATCTCGGCATCCGAGCGAGCGCGCCGTGAGAATGCATAGCGCTGCTCGTGCAGCGCCCGAAAGAATGAACAGTACATCTAGAAAAGCAAGAAACGAAACACAGAAGGCACACCGTGTGCTCCGTGTCCCCGTGGCTTGGGGAAGCTGCCAAAAGTGAGCACTCTTTACTAGCTATAATCTTTTAACTGAAAAGGCGTCCATGACCGTGCGTTGGCGATGACCGTGCCACGATCCACAGAGGACCAAGAGCACGCCCCTTCTGAAGCCACGCTCGCCTACCCCCGGAAAAGAAGAAAAATATGCCGCTCACCGCTGTCGCAGCCCGCCGCAGCTGCACTCCCGATTTTGATCGCGATCGTTCGCTCCGCACCCAAAAGCTCGCGCGCTGCTGCCGTTGCTGCCGCCAAGGCACATGACCAGCACGGCAAAGCTCGCCTCAGCCCAGTGGATCGCGCGCTGCGCGCAGCTCATTGTGCTCGTCGACTACGTCGCCGTCGGCGCGATGCGGACTGTCCTCCCGTACTACGTGAAGCATCTCGGCGCGTCGGGCGCCGCGGTTGGTGCACTCGAGACCCTCTACGGCGTCGGTCAGATCGCCGGCGCGGTCGCGCTCGGCTGGCTTAGCGACGCGCGAGGGCGCAAGGCTGTGCTGCTGCTCTCGTTTGCCGGCGCCGCCGCCGGGTACAGTGTAGCGTCTGCCGCGGTCGCGCTGGGCTCGGTGCCGTTCCTGCTCGCATCGCGGCTGCCCGTCGGCGTAGCGAAGCAGACCGTGACGGCTACCCGCGCCATCATCGCTGACATCACGCCGCCTGACGCGCGCAGCGCACCGCTCGCACGCCTCTTTGCCGGATGCAGCCTCGGCTACGCCGTCGGCCCTGTGCTGGGTGGCCTGCTGGCGGACTACGCCGGGGGCGCCTCGCCGCTGCCGGCGGCGGCGTGCGCGGTCGTCTTTGTCGCGCTCATGCCGTGCGTGGCTCTGCTGCTCCCAGAGACGCGGACGCTGCTGCTGGAGGAGGCGCCGCATTCCAAGCACGAGACGGCGGCAGCGCCTGCAGCGGCGGCGACGGCGGCGGCGGCGGCGGCGGCGGCGGCATCGCCCGCGGCGGCGACGGCGCGCCGCTCGACGGCCTCGTTGCTGCTCGGCTGCACGCTCGCTGAGGGCGCGCTGGTGATGCTCGCGTCGACTAGCCTGCCGCTGCTCAGCCTGCGACTCGGCTGGAGTGCGTCGATGCTGGGGCTGTACAACTCTGCGTGGGGCGTCGCCAGCGGCGTGACGCCAGCGTACTGCTTGCGCGTCCAAGGAGCCGGTCCATGAGGAGTTGAGTGGTGACGGCAGGCGTGCTCTCCCTCACCCTCTGGCCCCACCTGCTCGCCTCGCGAGCGCTGCCCGACCGGGCGGCGCTGCGGCTCGGCATCGGCTGCCTGGCCCTCACCAGCGCGTCGCTCTCGCTGTGGAGCGCGAGCGCGCGCGTCCTGTGGGCGGCGCGACGGGCCTCTGCAGACTCGTCGTGCCCTACGCCCCTGCCCCGTCCGCGACGCGTCTTGCGGACTCTGCGGCTCAGGTGCTGCCTCTCGGCACCGTCGCCGTCGGGCTGGTGCGCAGCATACCCGCCTCGCTCCTCACCGCGGCGGCGCCG